AAGTTAAATGAATTACATGCAATGTATTATACTATTAAAATAAACTCTATTTAACCAAAAGCTTATAAAAAGGTTCAATATTTTCTCACAAATAACATTTCAAATCTCTTTCGACAAAAACATTTTCTCACTTTCTCACAAACAATATTTCATCTTTCGCTAAAAAAATAATATTTCGTTTCCCTTTCGCATACATCATTTTTACTAACAATATTTCGTCTCTCTTTCGCATACATAGTTTTCTCGTATTTCTATCGTATACATCGTTTTCTTCCATTCTCAATTTCTCACTAATATTTCGTCGCAAATATGACTAGAAATATGGGTCAAAAAAAGGCTGCAGCAGTACGTCGTCAACCACTACGTCGCCAGGAAGCGCAGCATTAACAAGAAACTCAGGGAGTGACAGAAACTCCTAGTAGCCAAGAAACAGCAGATACACCACGTTGGCAGGTTCCGACAACAACTTCGACACCTTCGAGTAGCCAAGAAACACGTTGGCAGGTTCCGATAACAACACCTCTTAGTAGCCAAGAAACACCATATTGACAAGTTTCGGCACTAAATCTAAGTAGTCAAAAAATACGACGTCGGCAGGTTCCGACATCTCGAAGTCAACAAGAAATATCGAAATCTTCACGTCGGCAGAATCCGGCAAATGAAGGACCATTCAAATTATTAATACCATCAAGTATTTCCAAAGAAACTTGATCACAATCCCAATCTCCAACTCGACCATATGGAGATTATGATGTTTCGCTTAATTACAGGATTGAAGACGAACATCAATATGGCGAAACCTCAACTGCCGGTATGGTTAGAGGTGCCATTCTGGAAGCTGATAACCGGGATCTGTAGGCTTCCCGTCTTAGAACACCCAAAAGGTCTTCAACATATTGGCAGATAGGTGACGAAAGACGTCACGATGAAAGGAGTAGCGAAAGGAGTATAACTCCTTATCGTCGACAATTCGACATTTCTCGAGGTGACAAATTTTGATATACTCCATATCAATACACACGAGAACGTAGATTAAGACGTGATGAAAGAAGTGTAACTCCTTATCGACCAAGAAGAAGAGAATCTTCTCCTGGAACAACCGATTCTTCGCTGAGCGAAGGTAAGTGTAATTTATTGCAAAAATTTAGCCGATATATATTTTTTAACCAATTTATTGTTAACTTTTCTATGAAAAAGCATATTTACGTGGAATAATCGATGAGTTGAGCAGGCAAGGATGGAATTCGGCAAAGTTACTGGAGATAACGAAGCGCTTATTTGTGAAAATGAGAGTTTGCGGGACGAACTCGGATGAAGCTGATGAAGACGTAGAGATGAAGAAACAGACGAAGGTCATCGAGGAAAGCGAACTCGACACAGTAGTGAAGACGAAAGTGATGAAGAGGGTATGACAACAATGAAGCAGCAAGAGTTCGTTTAAAAACTTTAACTTTTCTGAATTTTAATTAATTCTAACCGATTTATAATCTAATATAACCTATATCAATCAAATTAACTATATTTGGCTTTTATTTTTTTATAATTTAGAATAAAATGAGAATGATTTTAACGACATTGCCTACTGATCTCAAAATGAGATATGATCTTAAGTTCAGCAGTGAAGAAAATATTAAAATATTACGAAAAGTAATACCACGTCTCGTCGATGTGTTAAAAAGATTCAAAATGACATACAAACAAGTCAAGAAGTGGCTTAGCGTCCTCCACAGGCATCGATAAGTTCGTTTATTATATAAACAACGTGATACTTTAGATCGTGATAATCGGCGTTTACACAAAAATAGTCACACCAGTGAGATAAATATCAAAATTATTTTTTTAAAAAAAAAGCAACTTCAATTAACATTCGATATTTTTAATATAGAAAAAGGCTTGAAGAATCAAAGGTGCTAATTTGCTTTTTGATTTAGGCGATAAGAGAGTTTTGAAATATAATAAGGAAGAGTTATTAAGGATCTTAGGAGACAATTGTTATTATTCCCCCGAATATTCAGAGAAAAGATTGAACCTTTTTATAAGCTTTCGGTTAAATAGAGTTTATTTTAATAGTATAATATATTGCATGTAATTCATTTAACTTTTGACTTAATGTGATTAATTCTTTAAATTTTGATTATAATATGGTAATTGATTTAAATTACGATAATAATTTTGAAGTTTCGATACAGATATTCTTTTAAATTTCATTTATAATGCAAGTATTTTTTTAAGTTTCGATTTAATGCGATAATTGATTTAAATTTCGATTATAATGCAGGTTTTACTTTAGTTTCGACTTTCGACATTAGCCTATTATGGTTTCGTCCCGCAACTATAACTCAGTTGCAGTTTCTGGTATGTAGAACCTAATTCGAAAGTTCATTACCCATAATAAAATCTATGCAAATTGATAATCAATTGTTACTTCCTCTTCTTTATCTTGATATGGTTCATATTTTGGCGGAGAATAATTTTCAAAAGTTTCAGAAATAAGTAAATCATCAGAAACACTTTCATCTTCACTCATAGGAGATTCGATATGTTGTCTTTCATTATGTTCATTATTCTCGCTTAAAGAAGACTCAGTATGTTGTTCATTCCCAGAGTCACTCAAATCGTCAGTAACTTGCAGATAACTTTATACCTACTTATACGCTTTCGAGATAAATTCGGTAATTTAGGATAACAATCAGTCATTTTGTTTCTTAAAACTTGTGAATTATCATCAATCATTTCACTCCTCGAATCTTGTGATTCGATTTCAGCAGGTGATCCAGTATCAAATATCAATTCGTCAAAATTTGAATATAATTGTTTGATGGCGGAACCACCACGAATCATTAATGAGCCACTTGAACTACCACGAATTGTTGATGAACCACTTGCCAATTCATGAAAAAGTTTGGTCCAATTTAAAACTAATTTTTCATTACACTTATTACAATAACAAGGAACTTTGTTAACTTTTTTTTTGAGTTGACTCAGATGGTAGAGATGGTCGTTTTGTCAGCTTATTACCAATAATATTCAAAATAGACCTA